CACACACACACACACACATGCACACACAGAGACACACACACACACACTGTTCATGGGTCTGAGTATAAAATGCCAAAATTCTCACCACGATGTTCTTGTCCTGTTTGGTCCACGCTTGAACCCTTCTCCCTACCCTCACCTTGTACCACTCTCACCCTTTGCTGTCTCCTCCCTGGCCACAGGGCCCACCTACCATGCTGCTTCCTCCCCAGCCTGTACATGCTCTTTCCTCTGTCTGTGATGTTCTGCCCACTCCATCCTTTACTCACTCTTGCTCATTATTCTGTCTCTCAGCAGAAGCATTATTTCAGGAAAGCCTACTCTGTCTCAGTTAGGTCAATCTGTGACCTCCTTGAACCACCGGCCTGGCCTTCAGTGCATTCAGCTCAGTTGCAATTTTACATATATCCAGGCGGGTATTTCACAGACACATTTTTCCCTAATTATGCAGTGAGCTCCACGAATAAAGTTTTTGGCCACCATTGGTTGTTTTCGTTGCTTGGAGCTGTGCATGGAACACAAGAGTTGGTTTAAAATATACTCCCTGAATGAATGAACATCACTTGCTTTCCTCTCTTCAGCCTAAATCCCCATGCCTCCAGAACATTGAGTTAATGTCCTAGCCCTGTATCACTCTGCCCGTAATGTGCAGCGCCCAGCCTCTGCCCTCGAAGTCCCCTCACCTGGAATATCCACTTGGCTTCCTTGTGTCCACCCATATCCAGCCTTTGAGGTTCAGCTTCAGTGTACCCTCTGCAGAGCTTCTGAAAACCATGTTGGTAAAGGGGGTGAGAAGGGATAAATTGGGAGTTGGAAGTTTGCCCCTCTCACGGAGTGATGGAAATGTTAGGTGGTGATGGTTTTCTTGGTTTATCGGCCTGTCAAAATTCATCAAATTGTACATCTGAAATATGTGTAGTCTACTCTACAGAAATTATACCACAGTAAATTTATTTTAAAAAATAATTTATAAAAACCACATTGGTCTTCATAGCTTTAGCATCCTTCTCTGTGCAAGTTTCTATCTCAGTACCTCATTTCAAAATTCCTTATTTAATGAACAGAGGATATGAATCCAAGGTAACTACTGTGGCATAATCTTCGTTGTCCTTTTGTTTTCTGGTTTATTAATATGAATCGACATTTTTAAAGCATATTGTATTACACAGGCACAAAATTTGGCCAACCCAAGTTCTGGTTAAAATGAAAGTTGAAAGGAAGTTGAAAATTTCATTCAAAAAGTTCAGCTTTATAGAAGGGAATTAAATGATTGGAACTTTAATAAATTCTGGCTTTTAGTGAATTACTCTTTACTTTGCAGTGTTGAGAATTAATGTGTGGAGATTAAAATTAATTAATGGTGATTGAGAAAGATGTATTAAAAAACTTGTTTGCCTTGGCCAAACAAGAAGGCATTTTCAAAGCAGATACATGAAAAAGTATAGATTAGGGCTACACATAATGTTCTGTTGAATAATTGGAGTTTATTCCTCCCACAGCAGGTAAAAATAACATTTTGGTATTCCAGACCCTACGCCTTTATTTTTCTATCCATTTAAATTTTGTTCTCATAAATTGTAAAGTATAGAGTGTGTGTGTGTGTGTTTCACCTGACCAGGGAACTGTCTGCTGCTTTCACTGTAATTTGCCTACCTCCCCTTGTTTTTATGGGGGTGTTTGTTTGGGGGGGTAGTTCAGTTTATTTACGTATTATTCTTAGAGAAGGTACCGGGGATTGGAGGTTCCAGGGCTTGAACCCAGGACCTCATACATGCTAAGCATGTGCTCTACCACTTAAGCTACACCTTCCCCTTGTATAAGTCCTTTGGAAAGGAAGAAGATGGGTCTTTATCTGTGTCAGAGTGATTGACAGCCGAAGAGCCCTGGTCCCTCTTGCAGAGACACGCACGGAGGTCTCATGTCACTTGACTCTGAATGTGAAATAAGACACAATTTTCCTTTTTCTGTTTCAGTTATCTCAGGGATCTCCAGAACCAATTGAGCCCAGCTTTTTCACAGCAGATTACCATTTATTGCATCATTCGTCAAGTGAAAACATCCTGTCCCCAAATAACTCAACAGGTAATGGTCTTCAAGACAGGAATCTGACTTTCATGAAGAAACAGACTGGTATTTTTCTATCTCTTTCTGGCTTACTTCACTTAGGATGACATTCTCTAGGGACATCCATGTTGCTGCAAATGGCATTACATTGTCTTTTTAA